TTCGGGTTGGACCCGCCTAACCCGAACACGACACGAAACTCGTAAAAATATTCAACCATGAAAAAATATTCAAGAAATACTTGTGCATATCTAGAACACCTTGGCATATCTTATTAGACTGCTTTTTATTTCCGAATTGCTACGACTACTTTTGGATTGTTCTTCTAGGCTCTAATCAAATAAAAATATATGCCTTTGATATGCACAAAAAGGATACAATAATTGTTTGGAAGTTTATAGAATCTTAAGCACGTATAAATAAGGATGCTTGTTTTAACAACAAAAAATAATCCGCATTCATGTAGGAATCTTTGCTTTTGAAATCATTTTCTTTTATTCATGTAGCGATCTTCTTCTCTTTTTTTCCGGTTATTTTCTTGTATTCATTAAGTTTGTAGTAAAGCAAGCAACATTGGAACTTGATCTCGTGGATCTCCAAAATGAAAACGATTGTTAAGTACATGTTTTTGTCATTTTTGTTTGAATAAGTATGGTGAAACAAGGACTCAAAAGATTTCCTATCTCACAAATCACGATTATAGCGCCAACACGGGACTCAAATTAGCCAATTAATTAGGATATGTCATAAAATTAATCTTTTTTTTTTTTAGTTTTCCGACAACTGGCAGGAAAAAATTTCCTAGTAGGACTCTACTAATCCCATATATAATTCCCACTCTTTTTTTTTTTTTTTTTTTGCTGAATAATAATCCTAATCCTAGATGTGCATACCAATGGTCGAACTACTTTTTCATTAAATCTTTGATATCTAGTAGAGTTCACTACGTACTTCCTATCTTGCTTAAATATTCTTTCTTTCATAATTCCTCACTTAGTATAATTCACATGGAAAACTCAAATCCTTCCACCCAGAAAAAAAAAAAAAACAAAAAAAAAAAAGAGCTCACAACCATCAGCCCATGATGATCAATCTCAGGTGAGGACAATTATCCACCAAATGAAGGATATTCTGCTCTTTGACGAAAGACGAAGCATTATGTCGCAAGACAGAAATTTCTGATACGATCAATTGCAGTTGAGATCGATCACAATATTCAGTTAGTATGGCAAGGCAAAACACAACTTCCAATCCTCGTCACTCAAAACCTCAAACATGTACGCCAAAATGCCTCCAAATATCTCTCCAAACTTCAGTTTCATCTGCAAAGACACCAGTCGACTTTGGATTCAAAAGCAAGATGTGCTATCTTTTGATTTAGCTCGGTGTCGCAATCGATGCAGTCTCTCTCCAACACCCGTAGAAATTAGTCCCGAAGTTTTGTGAAGGTTGATAACTTCGCCCTGCTTGAGATATAATGCTTCGTATTTCGCCGTGATCAGAAACTGTCGACTGATACTCCTTCAGACTTCAGTGCTCATTTGGTGGGTTTTTGTCCTCACTTGAGACTGATCAATGATCATCATTGTCACGAGTTTAACGGCCACTCATGTTTATTGTTTAACCCCATCGAAGATTCTGTTTGCAAAAAAAAAAAAAAAAAAAAAAAAAAAAAAAAAAGATTAGATATATTGTTAGTAATACATAAGTTAAGCACATAGGAAAAAAGATTAGATATATTGTTATATTAGTTATAACTTAGGAAAAAAAAATACCTGCCTCATCACGTATTCTGCTTCAGTTTCAACACATTCCTTGTGTTTTTTATCTTTCTCTTTACATCACTCCCCAATATATACATATATATATATATATATTATGTATGTATATATAATGCTTTAACTTTCACCTAATATAGCTTATTTGTCTGCTGTTTATCTTTGTTTTCTGGTCTTTATATTCTGCTTTAGAGTGCGGAGTTTGCGAGCCATGGAGAACTCAAACAGCAATATGCTTTAGCTGAGAATGAAGCGAAGCGAGCCAACTCTTGTTTCCCCTGCAGAGGAAACAGAGAAGGGTGTCTACTTCCTCTCGAACCGGGACCACAATTGCAGTAATTGTTTGAACAATCTATGGTCGCATTTACTGATTTAAATTAGCATATTAGGATATATCATGAATCCAATTCTTTTTTCTTCTACTATTTCTTCTTTCTTTCCTTTCTGGTTGCTGCTTTCTCACACAAGATAGAAAGCAAAATGTCTCATAGTGTTTAATTAATTACATAAAATACAAAGCGATTACCAGAACCAAAATATTGTATGAATAACTTCCAACATCAACTAAGGCCAGACAATTAAAGATCAAAGTAACACTTGTATGTTTGATCTATTTAGTATATTTACATGGGTTAGTGCCATTTCGGAATAGATGATTAAAGGAAAAATAAAAATTTATGAACGTGAATTTATGTACAGTCAAGTAAAAAAGGGAAGGTTTGGTGGAGTATAATGGAGACATTTCAGTTTATGTCAAAGTATCTCGGATCTTCTGGGTAATGATACTCCATGTTCAACTGCAATTGTACACCATTAAATATGGTAAGAGAGTGCAAAAACCACAAGTTCTAAAAGTAATCGTAATAATAATATAAAAAAAGTGTATACATATATGAAAGACATGACATCGATGTTTAATTAACTGCAGAAGGAGAACAAGAAACCTTTTGAATATCAGCACATTGGAACCATCAGTTAGAGAACATGCTTAGCCAAAGAGGAAAAGGACGCACAAATTTGAACCTTTACGATGGTAAAGTAACAAAAAGGGCATGCCACTTAAACAAGTATAGACACATAACACATTACCTTGCCCTCATCATCGTCAGAGTGGCGTTGAGGAAACACAACTCTCAAGTCATTGTACAGGTAGAATCTTCTTTCCCCATCCAAGTCTAGGCCTTTTCTCTGCGGTTTAGCAAGTGAGTCAGATTTGCATTTCTGTGACGACCTTGAACTTTTAGGGAATGGGCATATGAAGCGCAGATGAAGCGCATAACGAAGAGCACCGCTGCCGCCACCATTATTACTGTTCTCATTAACCCTTGAACTCCCATGTACTACGGATTTCTTTTCAGTTCCTTCCCATGTATCCACCAAGTTTTGGTCCTTACATTCCCCACCATTAATGTTATTGTCTATACTAGAGCCTCTACTAGTAATTTTGGTTCCTTTCTCTAGGGAGCTTGGTATATGGACAATGTCACTTTCATCTGTAATACTCTTTGCCTTTACCTCCTCGCTGGTCTCCTCGTCTTTGACCTTTGAGTCCATATCTATCTTCACTTGTTTCAACTGTGTGGGAGATGGATTTGATGAAGCTAGGCTTACCTTCTGGCGCAAGAAAGTCTACTTAAAACAAAATAAACATACGCATTAAAACAATTTGTATGGTAATTTTCCACAATGGTATATCAAAGTTACAAGCAATATATGAATCAACGGCAACATAATGGCTTTTAGACTGGGGGATTGTTAGGATCCTGGTTGAGTCCCACATTGCTAAAGTATGGGCTTAGCATGTGGGTTTATAACCATTTGGGCACCCTCTCTCTACAAGCTAGCTTTTGAGGATGAGTTCTACCCAAGGGTTATAACAATTGGTATCAGAGCATGCCCTCCTCAGGCCCACGTTGCGGAAGGGGCGACCTGGAAAGGCCAGAGTGGGCCGCCGTGGACGTCGGTGTCGGAAGCGTGGTGGTATGTTAGGATCCTGGTTGAATCCCACATTGCTAAAGTATGGGCTTAGCATGTGGGTTTATAACCATTTGGGCACCCTCTCTCTACAAGCTAGCTTTTGAGGATGAGTTCTACCCAAGGGTTATAACAATTGGTATCAGAGCATGCCCTCCTCAGGCCCACGTTGCGGAAGGGGCGACCTGGAAAGGCCAGAGTGGGCCGCCGTGGACGTCGGTGTCGGAAGCGTGGTGGTATGTTAGGATCCTGGTTGAGTCCCACATTGCTAAAGTATGGGCTTAGCATGTGGGTTTATAACAATTGAGGATGAGTTCTACCCAAGGGTTATAACAATTGGTATCAGAGCATGCCCTCCTCAGGCCCACGTTGCGGAAGGGGCGACCTGGAAAGGCCAGAGTGGGCCGCCGTGGACGTCGGTGTCGGAAGCGTGGTGGTATGTTAGGATCCTGGTTGAGTCCCACATTGCTAAAGTATGGGCTTAGCATGTGGGTTTATAACCATTTAGGCACCCTCTCCCTACAAGCTAGCTTTTGGAGATGAGTTCTACCCAAGGGTTATAACAGGGATCTTTATCAATAATATTTTCACCTAATTTACAACAGATAGCCAAGCTTGTCAAACTCCACTGGCTGCAAGGTAAAAACTAATATAGAACTTGGATTAAAGACGTGATTCATGTTAAAGATCTAGAATATTTCTCCATTTATGAACAACTGCAAACTTAGAATTGACAAGGAAGTATAGTTCTAGATGACGTAATGGGGGTAACAACTGGAGAGTTGGATGTAATTAAAGCACTATGAAGCAGGAAAAATCAGCACAATATACATCTTCTTACTTTTGTACTAGCCGGCATGTCACTTAAATCGTAGCTGCAAAGGAAAGTGTGGAGTGGTGTCTTTTCCGGATTGCTGAGAACCTACATGCATAAAGCAGTTCAGTTTAATTCGCAACGACACTTTCTGTACGCAATATTTCACCGCACATTCTCTCCATACCTAAAAGTTAAAGTACTAATACTAACATATCTAATACTTCTTGCAAATATTCCCAAAACACAGAGAACAATAGAAAATGAACAAGAATTCTTTGCTTTTGAGAAGTTTTCCAATAACAAAGGTAATGCAAGACCTGCTAATCACCTATAGGAAAAGTTCCAAAAGGCGAAAAATATGCAAAAAGAAGAAAAGACGTGTGCAGTTCATATGAAACTATCCTAGTCGTAAGCACCCGGAAGGCAATGTCAGGCAATGTATATTAGAATGCAGAGCATGGTATCCTAGCCATAGCCACCCTGGACAACCAGAAATCAATCGGTTTTAGGAGTACCAGCTGTATACGGCCCTTCATAGGTATGCGCAGGCGACTCCTGACAGTTTGTGAATCATCATTGCTAAGACCTCGTTTCATTTTTTGGCCTCTGCCTTTGTTTAATGACGAATTTCTTGCAAGATCAATAGATGCATAATACAATAAATAACAATCTCCATCTACACTAGTCACTGAGAAAGGAAGCTTTTGGGATTGTGGTGAGAAGTTCCCTCCGGTAATGCTCAACACAGCCAGGAAACCATCAATGCTCTACACCAAAAGATGACGATAGTCAGTACAGGCAGGTATCACTCATGCAAGATTGTTAAAGCAAAAAAGCATTCACATTTACCTGACTCGGTTTCCCGGATAAGAACCGCCCGGATAACAGAGATTCCTCAAATGAACCAACCAAGGACCTCCTAACGGGAAGTCCACTCAAACTTCTAAGAAATCTCATGCATTGAGAAGTAGGAGCAGATCCCCCGGACATAGACACACCTGCGTCAGCATTGTATCCTACAGAAGATGGATGGAACTCCTTGTAAAAGAAATCTTCTTCTTCAAATGATTTGCTTGAAATCTTAAACTCATCTTCTTCATGGCCAAAGATCATCCCTCGTTCAGATAAGTCAAGTGTCTGTTCTACATTGCTTAACATTGAATGACAATCACAAAACTCGCTCTTGGTATTCTTGAATCCTCCTGCAGTTTTTAGTCTTTCAGAAAGCTTTGGACCAAGAGGTGACAAAGAAAGGGGAGATGAGAACCCTTTTTGTGATGGCGTGGATATTTCCCCACAATGGAGCTTTATATTCCTAGATCCTCTGAACTCATATAATGCGGGTGAAGATAAACAACTATTACGAGATGGTGATTTCTCATTTTCTAGAAGAGGGCCATTGGCGAAAAGAACAGATTCCATAAAGTTATCAACATGTGACATGCTCTTTTGTTCCAAGCAACTGGAAAAAGACCAAGTTGGGATGGCAGAATGGTCTTTGCTTCCAATATTTGCTTTCTTGTGATCTTGCACCACAGAAGCACTAAACTTGATAGCCCCAGCAGAGGAATCGGGTTGAATATTTCTGCAACCAATGTCTAGAGGATGACCCTCAAAATGTTGGTCTGGAAAAAGCATTGTATTCAGGGGTGATAACAACCGCTTCCTGACTAATGTCCCACTGGACATGGTTTCTTCAGCCGTGACGGTAATAGGGGGGGCAGCCGGAACACTTTTAAAACCATCACTACTGGAGGCAGTTTTGTTTGAATTGAAACCCACAATTCTAGAAGCAGGAGTATGAACATTTCTTCCATTCTTGGAAGTGAAATGACCAGCATTATCAACTGAACCAAGCCTCAAACAACGAACATTGGTACTAACTTCTAAGTCTCCTCTAATTCTAAACTTAGACGACTCGTCAGGGAAATCTCCCAAAGAAGAGCATATGGAACTTCCACCCGTTCGGCTAGAGCTTCCATGACGCATACCATCCAAATCAGAGCTGCTCTCATCTGTAATTCGAGGCGGGCTTTGCAAAAAGGCGCCCAATACCGCTTCAGCGGCTTCCTCAGAAGTTGTGCCCACAGGAACATGAGGCAGACCCATCACAATTTTTCAATAAATCACCAATATCTAATTAACTTCAATGTTTCTAAGTCTTCAATAAATCGCCAATATCTAATTAACTTCAATGTTTCAAAGTCTTCGCTGCCTATAGAGTTTGCTAAACTCCTCTAGGCGTTGTGTACACAGGAATTTGAGGCAGGTCCATGACAAATTTTCAAGAAACGTTAATATCTACTCAACCAAAGAAAGGTAGTTTTGTTGTTTATAGTCCTTATCTGCCTACAGATGTTCACTGAAGTCCTTCTAGTACCGGCATTTTCGTCCTACAAGCCATACAAGTGTTTGCTTCTATGAAAATCAATACAACAAACAAGCTTCTTAAGCTCTTGCTACAATGGGGGAGACAACAAGTGCCGTTGAAGGGAATATCATGTATCCACCAAAGGCATCCGGAATTCAAACATTTTTTCAGACATGACTTTCTTAACAAAAGGTGAAGAAATACTGAAGGCGCATATATTACATATCCGAAAATTGCAAGTGGCAAAGATCTCCTGACCTCCAAACCAGCAAGACAAGTAACACATATTCGCGGTTGCCAAATAAATCAAATGTTCATACCTGAAAACAATACTAAAATAAGTTAATTGATCATTTTATATCAGATAACACAAGCTAAACAAAGAAAAAAAAAAGTGATTCTAAATCAGATTCAGATTGATGAAGCACAATATGAATCAGCAAAGCTATCAAGTTCCACTGACATCAAATGGAATAAAACCACAATAAGACTGATCAATAATCATCATATTTTGTAACAGAAACTAGTAAGTCGTATAACAGTATGCATTAACTAGATAAGCAGGGGATTAAACGGCAGCAATCTGATGATGAACACAGCCAAAAAAAAGTTCAAAAAGATAAGATGTCCAAGAAAATTAACAGGAACCTCAAAACCCAAATTGGAAGTTTTCTCATCTGCACAAGGCGTTCATACTAAACAAGAAGAAACTTATTGAAAGCAAATTGTCCCAGAACCAGAATGTACTCCAACCCACCATTGACGGGAAGAAAAGTCCCAACGTAAGTGAAAGTTAAGTAATAAGCGTTTCCTTGGCATGATTAAAAACCCAAAAATAAAATAAAAATAAATAAGAAATTTTACAATTTTTTAAAGGCGTAAATCATAACAGGTTTACTTGTACGGCACACATTCATCCACTTCCACTACAAGAAACTCAAACAAAAAGACCCAATTTATTAAAAAAAAAAAAAAGAACTTTAAATGCAATGCAATTACAAGTAAGAGAATTTCGAAAGTTAACTCTCCTGAAGATTAACAAAATCAAAAGGATTGATCAACAAAATATCAAAACGGAACGAAACAGAGTAAGAAAATAGCAACCAAAAACTGGAAAAAAAAAATCCAGATTGTTATAGAACACGCACCGATGAAGCCTCTGATCAAACAAATCATTCCTTTTAATTGCTAAATCAGTCAAGCAAAAATTAAGAGCTCAGAAAAATAGATTATATTAATTTAAAAAAAAAGGAGAAGAAAAGAGGAGCGGTTGAGAGAGAAAATTGTGGGATTTGGTGGGTGTGGGTTGAAAGGGGAAATGGAGGATAAATGGGAAATGGTGGTGGTGGAAATGGAGAATGGGTAATGGGTAATGTAGATGTAGGTAAGAGGAGTAGGGCAGACTCTCTCTCTCTCTTTCTCTCTCTCTCTCTCTATGTCTTCTTCCATGTTTATGTGTATGTTTATAATCCTAAAATGCCATCCTCATCACCACCATGCCATCCTCACCACCATGCCATGCCTCTGCTTACCTGATTTTCTTGGCTGTAATTTTTATAAAATATATTTGTATTTAGTTGGTGTATTCATGTCATGATTTAATTTATGATTTGTAATTTATTATGGTATTTTTTTTTATAAAAAATACACATAAATTGAGAATGATTCTAAATTATAATTCTGAATTCATGAACTAAACGTCCACATGTCTCGTGTGCTTTCAATTCGAGCTGAAATTTTTATGAATTTTTAACTGTAATAAAACTAAATTTAAAAATTTAAATCGGTAAAATAAATGATGTCTAAATTTTTACTAATTTATTTCTACTAATTTTCACTACTTTATTTCTTTTCTTTTTCTTAATCACCCTTATTATTGTCATTCTTTTTGAGTAAACACTCACTATTGTAATTTACAGTATTTTTTTTAGGGTAATAGTTTGACGATGTTAAAACTATATTAAATTCCTATATAATATAAAATTTCACCAGCGTATTTTTTTTTAATAATTTACCACAAAATTCTCTATATTGCATTGTTTTTCCCCTTAAAAAAAGTTCTCTTTTTTATTACTGTCTGTATCCTCCTGTTACCTCATTGTATACGTACACGCGTGCTATGTATGTTCCAAATTCCAAACCCACCAAAATTTTTCTTATGAATACTTTTCTAGCAAAAAATAAAGAAAAAATTTCACCATTTTATTTTTTCACACGCACAAGGAAAAAAAAAAAAAAAAAAGAACTACTGCTTTCTTTTCTATTTTTATCTCAAGTAAGAATTCCACGCACCAAAATGCTTATTTGCTTGTCATTATTAAATTTATTTACTTCTATGCTTTCTCTGGTTATTGGCTGACTTTCTTTTTTTTTTCTTGAAAATGATGCCTCGTTCACTTTACAGATTTGAGTTTTTAATTCGAGTTGAGATGTGACATTTTCTGAGAACTTTTCATTGTAGTAAAAAAAGTTAATGTGACATTTTCTGAAAACTTTTTACTGTAAAAATCTAAAATTGAAAACTCAAATCGATGAAATGAACGAGACCTTAAAAATTATATGGTTGCAGATTCACTTCCTATTTCGTCTTTATTAAATAAAGACACCGATTGTCTTTAAAAGAAAGGAAAAAAAAAAGGTTTACACTAGACACCGAACCTCTCTGTTCATTATTGACTAACCCAAACCAATTAAAGTAAATATTTAGTTCATAAATTTAAAATTTTAATTTTAATTTTTAAAATTTAAATTTTTTATAAAAGAAAAATACTATCAAAAATTATGAATCATAATTTAAAATGAAAGACAGATACATGAAATAAATATCCCTTAAAATCTTACAAAACTTTTCCTATTTCTTGTTACCAAACTTGCCTTCTTTTGTTTCTCAACTTAGAAAACCTTGCTTTTCTCAATAAAAAAACCCTTTTTTTCCAAAAAAAAAAAAAAAAAAAAAAAAAAAAAAAAAAAAAAAGACATTGCCAGGTATAAATCAAATTCCAAGCATACGATACGTGTTGTCAGTCAGGATTCACGACTCACAACAATACACAACATGCCACATGCATACAGCTTCTTTTTCTTTCCTTTTTTTTCGATTTCTTTTTAATTCTTTTTTGCCCCTTTGACTCGTTCATTGTGTGAATGTGTACTTTGAGGTACTATTTATTGTCAAAAAAAAAAAAATCAATCGCCAATTTTAGAAGTGTCTCCATACAATAGAATCATATTCTTATTCTTACTCTTTATTAATTTATGTTTGATAGAGGGATTTGTTTCCTAATTCGAATCATAATTCATGATTCGTTACAGCATTTTTTCTTATAAAAAAATTTCTCACAGTATGTTTTATGCGTGTTCTTCTTCTTTCTAAACTACATATATAATAGTAAAAGATAATCTACAAATGTTAGTATTTTTTAAGGTAGAAGCAAAGCCAATGAGTTTTACTTCGTATGGTGGTCGTCTCTAGATGTTCAATACCCACAATGATTATGCCATGTATGAGCCATTAGTTATTAGTAATTTAATATTATATTAATATTATTAGTATTACAATCGCAGAAAACAGGATTTCAAAATGCTTCCACGTTTCACTTTAAAAACTGCACGGCACCACGCCTGGCTCCTTCTGAGCCTATGACATGTGCAATATAATGAGACTACTGCTAATTTGTTCATTTTATAGATTTAAATTTTCAATTCGAGTTAATATGTGACATTTTTTAAAAAATTTTAATTATAATAAAAAAAATTAAATGTGACATTTTTTAAAAACTTTTAACTGTAAAAATCTAAAACTAAAAACTTAATCGGTAAAATGAACGAAATCTACTTAATTTTACGACCACAAAAGATATTTTAATTATCACCACCATTAAAATATAAAGACTCGTTCTTTTTACCGATTTGAATTTTAAATTTTAAATTTTTACACTTAAAAATTCTCATAAAATATTATATTTCAAAATGCTTCCACGTTTCACTTCAAAAACTGCACGGCACCACGCCTGGCTCCTTCTGAGCCTGTGACATGTGCAATATAATGGGTGCGTTTGGAATTGGTTCCAAAACGTTTTTGTTTTCTGTACGAAAATGAAAATGAAAACGTTTTCATTTTCATTTTTGAATTATTTCTGAAAATGCGTTTGGTAGTTTTATTTAGAGATTGATTTCAGTTTTTAAAAAAAAACTGAAAATGCGTTTGGTTTCATTTTTGAAAACATGTAATAGGTATTTAATATATTAAATAAATAATAATTGAATCCTAAATAAAAACACTAATAATTAATAAAATAATTAATAAAATATGGAAATTACAATATATTAGCTTAAATTATTGTCGCCTATACGAATCCCACATTTGATTAGCTAGATGATCCCTAAAATCAACCATGTAATTACGTTGTTGCTGACCATCCATTTCAGATGTTTCTGCTTCTTGTGCATCCATACCATGTTGTTGTTCCTGTTGCCCTTCTTGTTCTCCCTCTCCCTCAATATCTTCTACGGGAAAATCGACCTCATATTGTCTAAATAGGGGATCATCTCGCGCGTGCATCTTAATTAAATTGTGGATCACACAACAAGCTATTGGTATACTATTTTGTCTTGGCATCCAATAATTTGTCATATGCTTAAGAATTTTAAACCTTGCTTTCAAGACCCCAAAGCACCTCTCTATGCAATTACGCAGTGAGGAGTGATAATAATTGAATAACTCTTGTGGTCCCGTTGGTTGCCACCGTTTCTAAACTGTTGAATATGGTACCTCTGACCACGAAATGGTGCCAAAAAGCCTTGCGTGTTGCTGTAACCGGAATCCACAACGTAATATTTTGGTGGGAGTGGCGCCACGAATGGGTCATCTGGATTTCTTAAAATCTCAGTTAACACTCTGGAATCAGCAGCTGATCCTTCCCATCCGGTATTGACATAAGTGAATAGCATATCAAAACTACACGCCGCCATTGTATTTTGAGTACACGAATGTTTTCTTCCTCTGTAGACTGTCTGTTGATGTGCAGGTGGGACAACCATCAAGTGTGTACCGTCTATTGCACCAATACAATCCTATTAAAATACATAAGGCGTGAGTTACAATTAATTTAAAATTATTTGTCATATTAGTAGTATATGAGCAGAGTCAGATAATACCTTAAACCATGGCCAGTACTTAGGGTTGTGTTGAATCTCTGGGGGGACAATGTTCATATTTGGTAGTTTTATAACATCAGGTGCTAACGCAGACAAAGCGGTAAGCATATTATCAAAATGCTGGTGTACTGTCTCTCCAGAATGACAAAATCTATCTTGTATCTCTCTATTGTGATCTGAGTGAGCAACTGTTCTTAAGAACATCATTAGAGATTCTTCTGCCGAAAGACTAGAAGAAGGCAGTAGGTTGCGGCCTCGAATTAACTGAACAATTGCTTCGAACGTGTCTCGATGCATACGACACATTTCAAACAAATTTTCGGGATGTCCGTGTAATTGTTCTAAAACATATTCT